ATGAATCTAGGACTCAGGAATCAGTAACATTACTGATTATAAACATCATTAATCAATACAGGTCCCTAAGGGAATTACTGTATTGTTTCATATTTAGTTTTGATATTTATTTACCTGCTACCTAGTGTAATGTGTACCAGTGCCCTCTCCTGGATGGAATTTGCCAGGCCTGTTCAGTTGTCAGAATAGCAGAGGCCTATTAGCAGGCTTACATAGCTAGGGAGGGCTACCCTGTAGGTAAATTTCTTTGTTTCCTCGGTAGAAAAAAAAAAGTGATCTGTGTTTTTCCTTTTTCTGTTTCTTAGTCTGAGTTTTCTCCAGTGAGTGATTATAGGCCTAAACCCACAAGGTAATAGCTCTCACAGTTTCAGTAGCCTGAAGAATTACTGGGGCAGGGGAGGTGGGTTGTTGAGCTTATCTCAGCTAAGCAAGCTCTGGCAACTTTTTTATATCAGTGCTAAGCATGTGCACAGGGAGCCTCTGCTTACAGTACAGAGCAGCAAAATACTGGAGTTTCTGTGGCAGATCCTGCTTACCTGCTTAGAAGGAAAAGGTGAATGCAGGGGAGAAAGCTCCTTTTGAATTGAAAGAGAAAGAGGAGAAAGTTCTGTTGCAGAGTCCAAGAAAGAGCTGAATGGGCTGAGCAAAACTGACTGCTGCCCTAGACCCACAAGAAACCTGGGTGGACTTTGCTGGAATTGTGACAGTGCTGCAGAGGGAAGTGAAACTCCTAGGCTGACTTGGCACAAGGTTGTGATTACCCCTTCACCCAGAAACTATAGGTTGTTGAGGTCTGCTTTTGTTCTGCTTTGCTTTGCTTCTCCCTACTTCTCTCCTGAGTAAATCCTCTTTTGAGTAGAGATTAAACCTCTCGCATCCTCAGAAGGTCAGAAAAGCAGTCTCAGAGCCTTGCTGAAAGACTTTGGTCCTTGTGGGGAAGTTAGAATAACTTTGCAGCAGTTCTTCAACAGGGATGGAGACCCTGCCAGCTGTAAAAGCCTGTAAAATCCCTCCGAGGACGACCAGAAGAAAAGACTCTTTCCTGCAGAAGAGTAGAGGATTACATAACTGCAAGTTTAATGGAGTGGATCTAGATGGAACCAATTTTTATAGCTTACCTTTCTCAGATGCCACAATTGCTGATTTAGTGGCAGCCTCACAAACAGAATCAGGTACTAATTAAAATCATGGCCAAAATTATAGTTTTCTGTGATAAATGAGTTATTTCAGAGTAGATCAACTTATCTTAAATTCAAGGATTTAGATCTTATTCTGAATAAATATGTATACATTTCATCAACTTTTTTTTTTACATTTATTACAAAATCCAAAATTCAAGGATGCCACAAAAAACATTTTGAAAAAACCTGCAAAGTACATTTTCCTGGCAGCCATGTGGGGCCTGGAAGGAAGTTCTGTTTCTGCTGCTGCAGGTTTCAGGTTTTGGGGTATTTTTCATTTTCCTCAGAAGCATTGTGCGTTGGCTGTAGCTGAGACTGGAGATATTGACTGGGGAGGGCCAATGTTGGGACTAAAAACCCCAGAGGTTCCTGGTTAGAAAGGTTCCTGGCTTTTGTTTCTCCACTTTGGGTCAGACCAATCATTGTACTTGGGGTCTGGAAAGAGTTTAACTCACTGTCATTGGCACTGACTTGGGGTGTGGGGGGGATTTCCCTTCCTCTTTAATGGGAGATATGGTCCTCTTCCATCTTGAGTGTATTTTGACAAACAGCAGTGTGGCAAGATATTTGACAGTGCCCTCATGAACTGTACTTTACTTGTGGCAAGATAGGGTGTTCATGCTGTTTTGTGCCTGGGGGCTGTACTAAAGGCTTGTTCATGCAGGTTAAGAATAGTTTAGACAGTTATATGTATGGGATGGTTTAGACTGGGATGAACCTAGAGCAGTCTGTTGAACTGTTGAAGTTCCTTTCAGATCTACTTTTCAGTTATTCTGATCCATCTGATTGGCAGTGGTAGGTACATTCTCGCCTCATGACTCTTTATTCAGTTTTCTTCATAGAAACATGGGTATGCTGTACAAAAAATCCAAGACCAACACCTGCCCAGGTTCCAAACCAATACACATTGATCACATGTGCACACATACACAAGGCATAAGACTGTCCTTCCACGTGCATGATCTCTGGAAGTGCATGAGCATGACTGCCTGCTCCACATACAGTCCATCCTATCCACAGGCTTGAAATCATAGAAAAGTAGGGCTGGAAAGGACTTCTGAAGGCCATCTTGTCTACCCCCTGCCTGAGGCTGGATCATCCCCAGGCAAACCACCCCATACAAGTCCTTATCTAACCTACTACTAAAACTACATAGTCAATTATCAAACAACCACAAGGCATAGCACCCTATCCTGTTGCAGGCAAAGCAGAGGACAATAGCAGCCAGTAGTCTGCTGCTGAGATAGTTACTAAAATATTCATGAGATCAAAGGTCCACAGCCAACTCTAGAGGAGCAAAACCCCCTAGTCTGTACCAGTCAAGTGGTTTCCTCAGTCCTGCCTGACTAGAAATGCCATTGCCACTGGTTCATTACATATATTACATGGCGAGAGAATGAGTGCACGTGTAAGCAATATTACACCCCAGGGAATTATTGTTGTACAAACGGCTAGTTTCGTGCCCCTGGAGGCTTGTCCAATCCACCTCAAGGAGAGAGTCACACACACACAGGCTAGGTCCAATTTCAAATTTATTGTTTGCAAACAGATCGACTAGGGAGTTAATTTATTTAAATTAGAGTTGACCCCAAACAGAGTCTGGGGTTCCTTTTTATAGCTAACATAAACAAAAGATTCTAACGTGTCGCGTAATTATTGGCAGCCCAAGTATTACGTCTTACAACATATGTCTAGCAGTCATATGTTCTATGACAGTTTACATACATGTCTCATTTACATCTTAAATCTCCTCCTTGAGGCTGTCCTTAAGTCCATCTCGGTCATTCTTCGGTCAGGGTCTGAGTTCTTCACATCAGCATCTTTCCCTGTCCCTCTTTTCTTATCTCTCGTAAGGAGTTATTTATTGCATCTGTTCCTGGCTATGTCTGCAGAAGTCTAGTGCTACTCATAAATCTATCATTGGCCTACATGCCTTAGCAGAAGCAAGTGTGATAATATGCAGAAGCAATTATGTAGTGAAGCTAAACAGTTCTCAGCTGTGACGCCTTTGTGTAGGGAGATGAGACATTTTTACCACACAGCTGCTACACAAATGTTATTGCAAAATCATAATGACTAGATTATAACATATTTTTACCACATTATGCACAGGAAAACTCAAAATTATACTAAATTGATTACTTTCTTTTTTATTATTTACATTTCATCTCATAGCCTTAGGAGCTGTTCAAAAAACTCGTTTAAAAAAAAAATATGTCCCCAAAAATGAGAGAGAGTGTGTGCGCTTGTGTGCCACAAGCTTTCCTGGGCTGCAGCTCACTTCATCAGACGCTGAGAAAGGACCTGAAGAAAGCCAGAGTATAAAGAGAGAAATTAAGAGTAGCAAAGACAAGGCGGGATTTGGGGGGGAGGGGCAAATAAGCAACACACAGACCTCAAGAACAAAAACCGCCCCGCCCCAGCCCACAGACCCTAGTGCGGCCGGGGCAGTGCACGCAGACGAAAGGCGCATCCCTGGGCCCCGCCCATAGGGGAGGGGGCAGCGCCCAGCGCGGCTCGCCCCCGCCCCCCACGTTCTTCAGAGCAGCCAGGCTCGCGCATGTGCACAGCGTACCGCTCCTGCTTTTCCCCATCCCGGGCGGCGCTGCGCGCGCAGGGAAAGGGCTCTGTCTCCACCCTGAACAACACGCGGGCGCCTGCGCAGCAACTCGCCCTCCCTTCGGAACTCCGCATTGCATCACTTCCTGTCTGATAACACTCCCCCCCTTCGCGGGGCATTGTGGGTTGCCGGAAGGAGTTTCGGCGAGGCAATGGCGGCGCGGGGCCGGGGTCGGGGTAGGGGCCGGGCCGGGGCTGCAGCGGCGGCGGCGGCAGCAGCGGTGGC